TTGTCGTTGAGTTGTTCGATTTGTTGGGTGAGCTGAGTTGTTATGGCTTGATTCGCTTCTTTGATTTGTTGAGACATTGCTCGGTTCAGAGCTTCTATTGTCTCAGCCGAAAGCTCCATGGTACCTGAAAAAATTTATAAAAAAAAAAAAAAAACTCGCAGTAACTTGTTCTAGAAGAAATCACAAAACAGCAAAACTAAACTCATCATAAAAAAATTAACCGATCTCCACGAAATCTAAAAACAAACTCAAAGAAACTAATGAAATTTAACGAAAATTTTTTTTTTTTTTTTGTGTACTCTTTTTTTTTGTGTACTCTTTTTTTTTTTTTTTTTTTCTACCCTAAAAAAAAACGAAAATATGAAGTCTCTTAGCAAATCTAAACGAAAACGAAATAACAAATTATCAAGCCTATCGAAATCAAAAAAAGACGAAACCCTAGACTCGACCTGAACAACTTGAGACAAACACGATAGCAAACCGACTAACCCTAACAATAGCAAACGAACTCACGATACGAAGCAATAACGATACAATATTCAAAAGGGAACAGATCGATGCACACAAATCAAACTCGCTAAGCCCTAACAATCAAAACACGAATTCAAATCAAAAATCGCGATTAGGGTTAGAGATTGCTCAGCCTTTGGTTCAGAGTTGGCTCTGATACCACGTGATACGATCCAAGGTGATCTACTCTGAGGAAAAGGCTGTAGATGCTGCGATTTTATGGACAGATCACAACGATGAAGTGATGGGGTGGTGATGGCCGATGCGATGGTGATGATGGCTTGAGGATCGAGTCGAAGATGGTTTGATGATGGTGGCTTGGCGGATCGATGGCGAGTGATGGTGGAGGGATGAATTCGATGGATATGGTGAAGGATGAGAAGAGAAGATGATGAAATCGAGTAGATGATAGGTAGCAGATTTTCTTGTAAGAATCACTTGTAAGAAAATCGAATTCAATGAACTTTTTGAGTCAAGGAATCAAAGCAAACTTTGCTCTCTCTTTTACGTTAAAAATTCCAAGCTCCTAATGACTTAGGCGATTTCTCTATTATATAGACTTAGAGAAATCGCAGCCCTAAAGAAACAAAACTACATGAAGTTTAAATAAAAACAACAGGAAGTTTGATTTAAAATAAAAACAGCGAGGCGTCCCTAAAATCCTAAGTGGTGCGCCAAAATACTAAGTGCACAAGTCATTGTGACTTTGCACATTATTACCCATTAGTAACAACTTCTAAGTAACTCGACGTAGCAATGATTTCTGCCTCGTTAAAAACCTTGGAGAAGAACCTCCTTGCCTTCCAAAATCCTCACCAAGGAAAAGAGTACAGAATCATCACCTAAGTTACCTAGTCATTGTTACTGGGTTCTTCATTCTTCAAGATAGAGATGTTGAAGATGTGAGCTCCAGCCTCCTGGTGATCGCTGTCCTCTGTGGCAATGAGTGCGTGAGCCTCCTTAGCCATCTCTCTAGCTCTGGAACGAGTGATCCTGCCAGCTACCTCTGGTTCCTCCTCCTCTGAGCTGGTCACGATCATATCACTGATCCTCATTTTTCATCATCAACTGCTTCATTGCATGCAAAAATATTATCGACGTCGATTTGCTTTTGATTCCATTCATTCCAGACATGTCTCAATTAGTTGAAATCTCTTATCATTACTAGGTACCTAGATTTCTCTCTCTCTCATGTCTATATCTCTTCTAGAGAATCCTTCCTCGACCTTGCCATTTTATAATATGCTCCTTTTTCTTTTCGAGGATTCTTATCTTTGGAATCAGTAGGTCTATCACGCTTCATGCGATCTTTAGCCTCTATCGCAGTTGATATTGTCCCCCCAGGACATCAATATTAATTGGAGCACAGCTGGTATAACTTAATCAGGGTCAGATAATGCCTCTAGCTTCAAATTTGCTTAATTTTACAAATAAATTATATTTCAAACTTTTAGTGCACATTCTTTCTGAGGATCAAGATAATTTCTTTCACTGATATTCCAGCTGCTATTTTCTCCCCCCTTTCTTAATTGTTGGAAAGACTGGCTCACTGAAATTACAGTCTGTAATGCTAATATTACCCTTATTTGATGGCTTAATACATTTACTCATCAAGGGAGATTCATATCCAACATATATTCCTCTTTGAGGTCCCATCTTAGATCAATGTGGTGGAGCAACATTATCCAAAATTTTTAGATGGGAAACATCTGGTTTCTGACCAAAACCAACAATGGGGAGAACTCAAAATATTCGTTGGCATAATGTGAATCAATGTGGTTTCACTCTTAATCAATTAACCAAATACTTTCACAAAGATACATAGTGGGTGATCAGTCCAAAATATCTCTTTGTGTATGTACCAGAAAATATCCAAACACATAAGAATCTCTGGATCTTTTTCGCATTGTTATTTAATTGGAATGGCTTAACCAGTTACGCCAAAACAGTGAGATTTTCAGTAAACTTCTTGTTTACTAGACCCATTTATATCTCATATACTAGTGTAGTACAATTCAATAGAGAATACAAGTAGTTTCTCTAAATTACTTTTACTGCCTTGGATAATACTCATGATGTGAAGATATTAAATATTTCCTTCACTCATTGTCTCAACCTGATAAATCTTAAAATCTTTTGGATTTTCTTTACACCTGATTTATCGAACATGAGTGTGAACATGATTTCTGGATGTTCCACTTACTATGAATTGTGGAATTCTTTAATTCTCCCCCTCGAGATGATGACACTTCAGGTCTATCCATCTCGAATTGAATCCACTCTAGGATCAACAACATACCCAACTTGGGTTTTGTAGTATATCTTAGATTCTCTTAATCTTTCGAGACTTGGGGGAGTACAATCCATTAATGATTCCAAATCATTTCCATATGCAATTATACCTGCTCTTCTGGAGCTTTCAATATTTTATACAATCTCATCTTGTACTCACACTAGTTTATTTTATCATCATATGATAGATCTCTTGTATGTTACCATCTATATTTTTTCACTTCTAGTGAGTATCTGAGTTCTTAAAAGAATCTCTTTGGCCTCAAGCTTGACCTTGACTATATCCACATCCATATCCACATTAATGTCTGCAACCACTTCCATAGCCATTTATTTGGCCTTTATCAACCATGTGGTCTTTTCTTTCTCAATATAGGATGTCACATTTACTTCAGGAAATGGACTATCTAAAATCAGAAACGTATCCTGATTTTTTTTTTCTTTCTAACTCATTATGTTGCTCAGCCTCTTTTAGACACATATACAAGTTTATAACACTTCTCAAAGTGTAGAGTATTGTGTCTCCAGGACAACATATCATTCTCAAAATGGTAGAGTATGTCTTTTAACATCTCTGCATCAACAATATTATCTTCACATAATATCTGAACATAGCTGAGTCAAACTCACTTACAGACTTCAAGTCATGTAATTTTAGATTCAACCAATCATAATGAGTGTAATATCACATTCTAGTGATTATACATTTTCTTTTAATTGCTCTAAATTTCTTGTAGATCTTTTTCGGTCAAGTACTTGATCTTACATCATTCAAGAGGCAATAACACACAAATATAATTTAATCATAAGAATATATCAAATTATGTGAACAAAAGATAATGATCATTCAATCAAAATAACAAAATAGTATTTTCTTTTAACATAAATAAGAGATACCACAGAAAATTCAGAATTTATTTGATATAATATTTTTAACTCAAGTTTAACATCATTCTTGGCATATACATATTCTATTCTTATTGTAATTATCTATGCACATATTCACGGATTGCTTGAATCAAAACCAATTATTAATCATGCCACACATACACGTTAACTTATAATAATAACATGTGCACAAGGTTATAAAATAACCATGGTGTACCAAACCAAACCAAATAAAGAAAATAAAATTCTCAATCTAAGACGTAATTTCCAAACTAACCAAGTAATATCAATACCAAACCAACGATTGTATCTTCACTTTCAATTAATACATTTCAATTCATGTATGAGATTGAGTAATATCTAAGCATGTGAATTGATTTTTTCGGTGAATTAAACTATACAATTAAAATCATGTGGGAATCAAAACAATTCTCCACGGTTTTGTAAAGTAATTAGGTTAGATAAATCAAGTTTAAATCAAAACCTTAATTAACTTAAAAATCATATTTGCTTTTAAAAATCAAAATCACAGTTTAATGAATTTTAATAAAACTCTTTGAACAATGAGGTATAAAGATCGAACAATTAATTAATCAAGTCATCAAACAATTTCATATGATATGAATGTGCAAATTTTGTAATAAAGCATAATATAATTTTTTTGTGCAAAATTCGTTTTTAGATAGGGCATATATTATGCTCTTATAATCTCGCCGCCGTGCAAAGATAGGGCATATACAAATGTTCTTATAATTTTGCCGTGCAAAAACGGATCATAAATAGAGCAGATTATAAAATCGTGTAAATTTAGGATAAGACAATTTGTATGACAAAAATCATAAACCCTAAACATAGAGAAGGAGGTATAGTCTTCCTTCTTTGGGGAAATAATAACTTATTATCCCGGAGTAAAATTTTAAACTATCTCTCACCTTTTCGGTGTGAGAACAGATCAAGAGACGATCACGCTGATAACGTGTTGTAAATCAGTTATCGAGAGAAAGAGGAAATTGGTGTATCTTATTCCAGGAAGAATGAGAGGTATATATAATATTACAAAGATCTAGTCACCACTACAAATTTCCGATGTTGGACAAATACAATAATAGTTATAGGCTTTAGGGCATCTAATTAATAATTCATAACAATAACATATTATTTGTTTCGTGTAATACAAACCATTCTAGATTGAGCCCTCTTGATGTCGGTCGATGTCTTAGAAGCAATATTCAAATCAAATGTGTGTTGCTGAAATCTTTTTTTATTTTAACAAAAATACATAATTTACACTTCGTTTTCTTTCAGCCCAACCCTAAAAAAAAGAAAGCCTCATACCAAAGTTTTAAGAAAGAAAAAAAAATCTTCGCCGCTCTTTTTGGCTCTTCTCCTTCCCTCTGCATCGCGCCGCCTTCTCCCTTTCTCAAACTCGCTCAGGTAAGGGAAAGCTTCTTCGATTTTCATCGTCCTTTACATTTCTCGATCCTTTAAGGCTCGTATCAATCTTCCATAGGCGTTCCCGTTCTCTTGCAGAATATTTTAACCTAGACAAATCAAAATCTAATCGGCACTAGTCGGAATCTATATTTTTTCCGTCGAATCGGTCACTGCGATACAGAATCCCTAATTTCGTGAGCTCTCGATTTCTGGAAATGGTGTTTTGTCATCGATCTTGTTGTTGCTTTCTGTGGCTATTGCTAGGTTTTTCTCGGTGTGTTTGTGTTATCGATCTTGTAATTGCTTCTTCTTCATTTTAATTTGATTTCAGTATCTGTGTATGAATGTTACAGATGTCAGTAATGGATCAACAATCAGGGATGTTCAAGGTTCAACAAACCATAGGAAGCGTTCTGTGTTGCAAGTGTGGTGTTCCCATGCCACCAAACGCAGCAAACATGTGTGTAAACTGTCTCCGTTCAGAAGTCGACATCACCGAAGGTTTGCAGAAAAGCATCCAAATCTTCTACTGCCCTGAGTGCGGTTGCTACTTGCAGCCACCAAAAACATGGATCAAAGCTCAATGGGAATCGAAAGAGCTCTTGACTTTCTGCATCAAGAGGCTCAAGAATCTCAACAAAGTGAAGCTGAAGAACGCTGAGTTCGTCTGGACCGAGCCTCACTCCAAGAGGATCAAAGTGAAGCTGACTGTTCAAGCCGAGGTTCTTAACGGAGCTGTGCTTGAGCAGTCTTACCCTGTTGAGTACACTGTGAGAGACAATCTTTGTGAGTCTTGCTCGAGGTTTCAGGCTAACCCTGATCAGTGGGTTGCGTCTGTGCAGCTTAGGCAGCATGTATCTCACAGGAGGACTTTCTTTTACCTTGAACAGTTGATTCTTAGGCATGATGCAGCTTCACGAGCCATCAGGATTCAGCAGGTTGATCAAGGGATTGATTTCTTCTTTGGGAATAAGAGTCATGCTAATAGCTTTGTGGAGTTTCTACGGAAAGTTGTCCCGATTGAGTATCGTCAGGACCAGCAGCTTGTGTCTCATGATGTCAAGAGCAGCTTGTACAACTACAAGTACACTTACTCTGTTAAAATCTGTCCCATTTGCCGTGAGGATCTTGTTTGCTTGCCTCAGAAAGTTGCTAGCGGTTTAGGAAACCTTGGTCCGCTTGTGGTGTGCACGAAAGTATCTGATAACATCACTCTGCTTGATCCTAGAACCTTAAGGTGTGCGTTCTTGGACGCGAGGCAGTACTGGAGATCAGGGTTTCGATCCGCGTTAACAAGTAGACAGCTCGTGAAGTACTTTGTGTTTGATGTGGAACCACCTGTTGGTGAAGCTACTGTCGGCGGACAAAAGTATGCTCTATCTTATGTCCAAATCGCACGTGAATCAGACATTGGTAAGATGTTTTATGTCCAAACTCATCTAGGACACATTCTTAAGCCAGGTGATCAAGCTCTAGGCTATGACATTTACGGAGCAAATGTGAACGACAATGAAATGGAGAAATACCGTCTGAGTGTGAAGAATGGTCTTCCTGAAGCGATTCTGATCAAGAAATGCTACGACGAGCATAGAGAGAGGAAGCAGAAGAAAACACGTTCGTGGAAGGTTAAGAAGCTTCCGATGGAAGTGGATGATTCAAGAGGCAGGGTTGATCCAGAGAAGAATGAGAAGGAGTATGAAGAGTTTTTGAGGGATCTTGAAGAGAACCCTGAGTTAAGGTTCAACATTTCCTTGTACAGGAACAAGGATTATCAAGAGTCCGAGACTGCTTCGATGACTGATGGAGAAGGCGCACCTTCTGTGCCTATCGAAGAGTTGCTTGCTGAGCTTGACCTCAGTGCTGAGGAAGAAGAAGACGACGATGAAGAGGACATGGCTGAGTGATTTGCGTTCAATTCGACACTCGAGGTTTGATCACAAAAGGTTTTGGCATGGTTCTGCTGTTTTGTCTCACTTGCCCTTTAGTTTTGTCCAAGTTTTTGTTTTTGTTGTAAGCTCGAACAGTTTCTGTTATAGGTACTATAATGTCTGAAAATTTTCTGGATATTATACTCTGTTTGAAATTTTGATTTTGAATGTGTAGTAATACGTTTGGTGATTGCTTCATATTACACATATTCTGGTGATTTTGAACTTCTTTGTCAAGCACAAACACATTATGATGCTTTCCGGTGAAACAAAGTCGAATACGAACCTTCGTACACGTTTGCCAAACTTAAAGAACTGAGATTGAGAAAAACTTGAGTTGACAACAAGATATGTAAACACTACGTTACTTGGAATCCAAGCTTTTTAAATCAGAATTTACACGCCCTAATGCTTCAAATGGTAAAGATAAGCTGAGAGACTGGCACAGAATCACATCCGTCAGAGAAACCTCCCGCCAGAGAGAAATCACTCTACCACTCCTTAAAGGTGAAGCACCGGAGTATTCTGATGGAAAATGTCGTCTTTTGCGGAGGAGAGAATGATAATGAACCCTTCTATCACTGTTCTTCTTGTAAACAAAAATGTTCATGTTACCTTTATGCTTTTGATGTAGTCTCAATTTATGATAGATAATGCTTTTAAATTTACTCATGATTAGTCCCAAAACGACAATCAATTGATCCATGAAACTAAAACTAACATTTTGTTTCTTGGGAAACAAACATTTAAAATTCAACGTCCCTGATTATGCCAATCGTTGTCACCATTTATCAATGCAATATAAAAATCAACGGCTTCACATAAACTCCATTATCTCTCAACCCTTTCATCGACAGTGACAATGTTATAAAGGAACTGTATATTGCATCTTCAAGTAATTGCAACAATCAGTGTAATTCAAGTTGTTCCAGGCTAAACCTACCGTTTCCACATAAGTGTACGCTAAAAGAAAGTCACAAGAGCTCAACATTGTAATAACCTCACAGGTTGCAGAGACCACACATCATTCTATAAGAGAAGCCAAATATCGCCTTTGAATTCAACTAACCGACCTTGGCAACTTTTCTCTGCTCGGTTTGGCCCGACAATGGGCACTGCATCTCTGTCCAACTAATCGGAACCATTGTTTCACCTGCACAATCACCAAACAACAGTAACTTTTCATTACTCAGAAAGGATATAGACATTATCTCGAAAGACTACCAAAAGAAGTACATGCATTTACAACATATTCGATTCCTGTAATTCCAAAACGGGAAGTACAAGTTGGAAGCTGAATGTTACAGATAGGTTACAGACTCTATACTATAAATTTACCTGCTGCACTTTCTGCTGAGACCACACCAAGCTCATTCTTAGCAGTAGACAGGTAGTAAGCCCTTGCATCACCAAGAGACAGCTTTAAGAGTGTACAAGTTAAGGCAACTTCAGATGCTATCATTAGACTACAACTAATCTACATCCAAATTAAACTATATACGATGTACAAGTGAAAAAAAAAAGAGAAAATGGACGTCATAATGTAACAAATCTTATAAATATCGTTCCAAATTTCATCTATACGCAATTAAGGATACAACCATAGCTCTAACAATGTCACCAGGACGGAAAGACAGAAGCATATCAACTTTGTCGACCTCCGTTGCTCTAACATCGTGTTGCCTATGTAAAGAAGCAAACACAAGTTAGATTTACACATTACAAACACTAAAACTTCGAAAATAAGGAGCAGGAGAAATCACTTGATTATGCCAGCGAATTTTTCATGAACAGCCTTTGGACCAACACACAAGATATCAACAGAAGCCATCCGAGCTGTAACTTTAGTAACCTATCAAGAAGATAACAGAGAATAAAGGATCAAACTTTTTGAAAGTAATTGACATCAAATCCAAATGATATAAAAAATGCAGACTTTACCCTTCCTGTGACAACAGAACCAGTCTCCGGGATAAGTCCATGTGCCTTGTGACCTGTAACTTCCACAATAGCTCTCTGCATATATATAATCACAAACACACAAGGATCAATAAATGACCATTTACATCGACGATTTCTACACAACCAATCAGTGAAATCACTTGAAAAAATGCAGAGACCTGGTCAGGTGAATCCGGAAGAGGAGAAACAATCCGGCGTGATCCTGTAAGGGAAGCGTAGATGGTATTGTCGTTGACATAAGCTCCTTTCCCGGCTTTGAACTCAGTCGCATTCCCGAGTACATCTCCTGGTGTTACTATATCTGACATTTTCGATGAATCTTTTGCACAACGTTAAGGTTCTTGAATTGGTTTCTTCGATTTCGATTGAGACACTGAAAAAATGTTAATGTACACATAAATCGAATTTCCAACAAATTCCTAAACTGTTAACAAGAAAAGTTTAAAGCTTCCATAGAATAAACAAATACTGAGTTTAAGCATAAGTTTCATTAGCATCAAAATCTAAGTTATATACCAAAATATTGAATAATAACCAACTCGATCCTCTGAAATTTTCTGATTTTAGAACAAAGTTTAATTCTTTTACCACATAAAAAAAGTCTAAATTAGAGACATTTATTCAGAAATTTAATGGCTCTAAAGGAAGTTCTTAATCACAAAATTAAGCAGCTTCACCCAAATTGTATCCAAAGATAAACTCATCACACAAACAATTAAACCCAAAATCTTTCTCCATATCACTCGACTGAGCAATTAGATTAAGAAAAAACATGTATTAGCTTCCAAAAAGTAGACCCAATCCGTGGAATTCGCAGAAGCGTACCAGTTAATAACGACGAAGAAAGGTGAAAAAGTTTATGGTTTTAAGAATTTCGTTACTTCAAGAGGCAAACACAAAATCTATTGAGGTTTAGTGGGGTTTTTGAGATCCCTATTTTGGACGGTCTGGATCTTATGACGATCATTGCTAATTTTGATACCCAAATTGGGCCGTAGGTATTTTATTTTGGTGGGTTAGAGTAGACCCATTGGCCCAATCCATGACTAGATTGATTTTTTGTTTTAAACATCTATCTTAGGCCTGGGCAAAAAACCCGGATCCGAATATCCGAATCGGATCCGAAATAGAGGTACCGAATTCGAACCGAAATTTTTAAAAATATCCGATGGATCTTAAACTCTTATACCCGAAGAACCGGAACCGAACTAGTACCGAACCGAGAACCGATTGGGTACCCGAATTATCCAAAGTATAATTATATATCCTTCTAAATATTAGTTTTTTTTTTGATATTTTTGATATTTGGTATATATTTCTGGTTTTACAGACATATTTTCTTTATTTTTGGGACTTTTGGGTATATTTTTAAGTTTTGATATATATATTTTTGAATTTTTTTTATTAAAAAAGTGTGAGTCGAATTAAAAATTTGAGGCAAAAGATCCGGATCCGATTATCCGAACCGGAACCGAACCGAAATAAAGGTACCGAACCCGAACCGAAATTTATAAAAATATCTGATGGATCCTAACTTCCTCTACCCGAAATATCCGGAACCGATTGGTTCCGAACCGAAACCGAACTGAATATCCGAATGCCCAGGCCTAATCTATCTTATCGAAAGTTATATAAAAATTAAAAAGTGCTTAAAATAATTAAAATACAACCAATTACAAAGCTATTTTTTTTTATAAAGGATTTGCTTGAATCAATTAAATGATGAGTTACATGATTACATGAATAAAGAGATTTTTTTTTACAGCAAACAATTTTATTAATTTCAAATTATGATGACAAAGTTATACATAACTTTTGGAATACAAATTATTACATAAACAGTTATATAATAAAAAAATACAAAAGAAAATATTAATTTAACGATATTTTCCGTAGATAAATTTTATTCGCTAACAAATTATGATCAACAAAAAAAGGGAAAAAAACCTTTAAAAAATGTAAACAATCAAGTAATACACACGAAAAATACAAACACGCAAACACAATCCCTGAAAGTAGACTACTTGCAAGAAAATCTTCAAAGAAACACTCTTGAACGAAGGTTGGTACAATAAAGAAAAAACGAAATCCGGCCGAACAAAGTCTTATCGAGTACAGATTACAAAAGTTATGAGATAACAAAAAACCAAAAAGGTAAATTTTGAAGATACTTTATTCTGAGAGGTGTTACTTACTAACAAAATATCAATATTGTTAGTTTCTTTTCTTGATCGTCATGTTAGATGAAACACCAAATAATACGTTGCAACATAAACACATGTTTTCTTTGTTGTACAATATTGGTACAATTCCCGAGTAAGGTGTAAATATGTTATACGGTTAGAAATCTAATATACTGATTCTTTCCATAGAAATTAAGACTGTAATCATCAATTTTCAACGAGTGTATGTATATTGTCATACAACAAAGAAATTGCATTTTGGTCATTAGCTATCACCATTCTGAACCGCCAATAACGGCATCATTATGGCAAAATCGCAAATTATATTTCGAAAGAGTTGGAATCCATTGTACTGATCCAATGTACTGATTCTTCTAATTGGTCCATTTTTATGACTTTTTTTTTGGAACTTCGTCCATCTTTTATTACTTTTCTTCCAAAAGAGTTGATGAAAAATCTCAATCAGAGAGCTGTATGAGAATAAACCATTTCATCATGTTCATCCTTCTACTTAATCACGTTCTTGTTTTTCATTCTTGCAACAAAACTCACAAAAAACAAGGCCATGGGAAAACAAGAAGCTATAGTTCTGTATCCAGCACCACCAATAGGTCACTTAGTGTCCATGGTTGAGTTAGGCAAACTCATACTCTCCCAAAACCCATCTCTCTCCATCCACATCCTCTTAGCTCCACCGCCTTATCAGCCGGAATCAACCGCCACTTACATCTCCACCGTCTCCTCCTCCTTCCCTTCAATCACCTTCCACCACCTCCCCGCCGTCACACCCTACTCCTCCACCTCCACCTCACGCCACCACCACGAGTCACTCCTCTTAGAAATCCTCTGTTTCAGCAACCCAAACGTCCACAAAACCCTTTTCTCGCTCTCTCAAAACTTCAATCTCCACGCAATGATCATCGACTTTTTCTGCACCGCCGTTTTAGACGTGACCGCCGATTTCACCTTCCCGGTTTACTACTTTTTAGCCTCCGGAGCCGCATATCTAACCGGTTCCTTCTATCTCCCGATCCTCCACGAGACAACCGAAGGAAAAAACCTCATAGATATTGAAACACTCCATATTCCCGGCGTTCCTCCGATGAAAGGCTCCGATATGCCTAAGGCCGTGCTCGAGCGCGACGACGAGGTCTACGATGCTTTTATAATGTTCTGCAAACAGCTCTCTAAGTCTTCAGGGATCATCGTCAATACTTTTGATGCTTTAGAGAACAGAGCTATCAAGGCAATAACAGAGGAGCTCTGTTTTCGCAATATTTATCCGATCGGACCGCTCATTGTTCGAGGAAGAACCGGTGATAACCATGGAGACAATGCAAGTTCTTGTTTGGATTGGCTTGATTCGCTGCCGGAACAGAGTGTTGCGTTCCTCTGTTTTGGGAGCTTGGGTTTGTTTTCAAAGGAACAGGTGAATGAGATTGCTATTGGTTTAGAGAGAAGTGAGGAGAGATTCTTGTGGGTGGTTCGTAATCCACCGGAGATAGATAGCATGGCTGAACCGGACTTGAAAACTCTTTTACCGGAAGGATTCTTAAACCGAACCGGAAATAGAGGAATGGTCGTTAAATCATGGGCTCCGCAAGTTCCGGTTCTGAATCACAAATCTATCGGTGGATTCGTCACTCATTGTGGCTGGAATTCTATTCTCGAATCGGTTTGTGCAGGTGAGTTAAAAATTTAGGCCATTCGGTTATTTGATTCGGTTCGATTTGGGTTTGGTTTTTGGATTTTTTTGATTGTAGAAAATAAGTCATATTTGAGATTAACTTTTATAGCAGTGGTTCGGTTTTTAATAATTTGGTTTGGTGCCGGTTCGAGTTATGTTCTGTTTTGGAGAAACTATTATAACAAAAATATAATTAGCTAAATTAATCTTCAATGATATTTATATATTTAATTAAAAGTATTATTTTTTTTTTGAATTTCAGTTAGTCGGTTAATTTGGTTAATTTCATTTGGTTTCATACAATTTAGGTTAAGTTTGGTTTAAAATTGGATAATTCGGTATAGACATTTTTATTCCATATTTCCATTCGGATAATTTTATAACTATGTTTGGATTCAGTTTTGGAATTTGGTTCGGTTTGAATATTTATATACACATTTCAATGATATATGTGTAGAGTGAGCGGTTATAATTAATTCAATTGGTTTACAAAAAAATAGGCGTACCGATGGTGGCTTGGCCTTTGTACGCTGAGCAGAGGTTTAACAGAGTAGTGATTGTTGATGAGATCAAAATTGCAATTCCGATGAATGAATTGGAGACGGGTTTTGTGAGCTCTACGGAGGTGGAGAAACGAGTTCGGGAGATAATGCAGGATGGTCCGGTTAGAGAAAAAACCAAAGCGATGAAGAACGCAGCCGAATCAGCCTTGACCGAAACCGGTTCGTCTCATGCCGCGTTAAATGCTCTACTCCAGTCGTGGAGCCTAAAATGATTATTACAAATATTAGTATGAAACAAAATAATCATCATATTTGAGATATGGAACCCAAACTTTTATTCCCCAATCAAAATCATATATTTATTGGATAAGTAATAATGGTCTGTCTCTGGGGATATAATATTTTTGCACCGGCTTTGTCTTCTGTAAATTTCAAACTAAGAGGGTGTTATTGGTTCTTGCATTTTAATGAATTTGCAAATTCAAACTAACTTCAGTGTTATTGGTTCTATGATTTAATCAAATCTTGTGTTACTGGTTCTCTGATTTTAAAATAGATTTTAAAATCAAGTGTTATTCAATGGTAAGGATTTGCATAAGGATTTGATTTTAATTTGGATTTGAATGGATTTACAAGTGTTTTAGAGTAAAATACAAAGGAGAAAATATTTAGTAGAACCTCGTATTTGGTTGGATTTGTATTATTGAGAAAAAAAAGTAAAGAAGAAGGTGTACAAAAACAATAAAAAAAGGGATAACTGACAAGTGATTTAAAGAATGTTTTGTAGCCATACAATGTTGACAACATTTGGTTAAAGACTATTACAGATTCGGTGAAAGATATGGTGTTGTGCCATTATTGACCAATGAATGCCTAATCTAAGTCTCTAAGCTGTGAAACTCAAGAATCGAGCCAATGTCTGAACTTGCATATCCCATGACAATCTTCTGCGTTTTCCAAAAACAACTTTACTTTCGTACCATAATAAAAAAATGTACAATTTACATAAACAATAATTTTGGTTAATTGAATTGCTCTGAAGACGAAGAGAAAGACACCTACACACCACCAAAAAAAAATAATAAAGAATTCATGCACTTGTAGGTATTTCTTGTCTCTTGCTCTTTACACTTGGCTTTACTACTCTTCAAGGAAGTTCATTTTTATTAACACATAGTGATTATAGAATTATCTTCAGATGTGTTTGTCAAATTTAACTATGTTTTTGCTGGTTTTTACTTTTTAATGGGATGTGTTTTCTGTTTTGTCAACGTTATATTTTATCAAATATGAATCCAATACTTCTTGAAGAAAGAGAATTAGATGCCGATATAATTTTATTGGTGTTCTTAATTTTCTGTCGAATGATATGTTTGAGGAAAAGACTACAACGAGAACTTCAACTGCAAATTGAACGTCCAATTCGACGTGCAATCACAAGAGAATATGTCAATCAACTGAGAGCGACGATTGCAACAAAGATGTGGACAGATACTATAGTTTAAGAAATTAATAGATGACAAGTGAAAGAAAAAGGATGAAAAAGTCTGTTTTTGTTTTTGTTTTTGATTTTTTTATATTATTATAAGACTAAAATTATTGTAAATCCATTTGATTGATTTACAGTAATCAACTTATTTGATTTTGAAATCAACTCAAATTCACTTGTATAATTCGAGAAGGATTTCTAAATCCTTGGATTCATTATGGAATTCCAAATCTGAGAAGAATTTCCAAATCCATTAAAATGCAAGAACCAATAACCCCCTCTAAGTATTCAGTTTATTCTGTTTGTATTATGTTTGGATATATCATAATAAAACTTTAAACGGTAAAAATAATAAGTAAAAATTATATGTGTTTTTTTTTTATTTTTTTTTCATGAAGAGCAAAATATTCAAACTAAAAAGATTTATCTAAATATATATTTTTTTTTGAACAACACTTTCATTTAAACTAAATACGGTTACACATTAAAGCAGGTAGGTAGTAACTCACGGAGGGCCGATTTAGCTAAAGCATCGGCCGACATATTGTTTAAACGACGAACGAAAAAAAACAATATAGAGGTAAACAGAGACATCAAGCAATTGATGTCGGAGAGGAGACCGTAGAGCTCCTTGATCTGATCACCGGTTAACAGAGCTTGGACAAGGATCTGAGCATCGGATATGAGTTCAGTGCCGTGCCTAGCCTTATGAAGGCCTAAAGCGAATCATAAAATATATTATTGTTTTATATGTTTAAATATGTATTTTTATTTATCGTTTATTTGATGTTAATACTATTATAGTTTCTTAAAACAAAACGAACTTTTAAACATCATAATACTTTTATTGTAGTTGTGTCTCAAACATTCATATATAACTACATAATGTTCTTCTACTATATATAACAAACAAAATCATGTATCTTACATATTTGGTTAAAGTTATAAGAAAATGTGGTCCTTAAAACTAGAAAAAATTTTGGTGGTGTAAGGCAATTGCCTTTTTTGATATATGCAAGGCATGGCTCCATTTAATGACGAGATTTGAGGGACCGAGATCACGCACATGGAGGAGAGCTGATCGGATTGATGTGGGTGCAGTGGGCAACACCAGTTTTACCCTAGACAAGTTGCAAGTGCAAAACAAACACAGTAGTACTTAGGGATCGAATCCACATGGATTTGTGTGTTGAGGACTTCTAACTGATGCTAAAAACAATCGTAAACCTAATCTAATAAAAACGGGTTTTGGTTTGTCACTAAATCTAATTATGCAGAGAATTAAAAGCTGGAAATAAAAATCGGTTGAAAACTATATAAAAAACGGCGCTGGATTTAAGGTTCATCTTTAGGGTTCATGTAATAAAACACAAGGAATTTAGGCAATGATTTTCTATGACTCTGAAACTAGGATAGACACATGTAAGATTAGCCAACTTTCGTCACCCTAATCATCTAATCACTTGTTCATGGCAATTAACTCTCGCTCTCATGCCAGAACAAGATCATGCTTTGTAGATCGGAATCCATCTTGGCTTACGTATCCTCCGTAGGTATCTTTCGTCTCCTACGACAGTGACGTCCATAAGATCCAGTTCAGACAATCCAGATACAACACTCTCGTGGCTCGGATTTAACCTAGGATCGGATTCTGGGTGATCAATCCAGAATTACCGCTTTGAGATTTGGATGAATGGGAGAATCATGTTAAAAATCGAAATCCTTTTTCGTAAAAACCTAGATGTCATTTGAATATGGGGTCCCTTTGGATTACCCTTTCACCCAACTAGGTGACTACTCAGACATGGCTGAGATAGACATCGTCATCGGTTTAGAACTAGAAAGAAGAAAAGAAGAAAAGTAAAGAAACAAAAGTTACAGAAAACCTTCTCTTATTGAAGACAGAATGGAGATGAAGAGCTTCTACAAATGCATAAAATCTTATACTAATAAAAGTTGAAGCTATAAGCTTCTCAAGGCGTCCACATAGGATTTAAAAGGGCAATTCTATTGGTCCACATCACCATTCAAAATTAAGGAAATTTCCAAATTTTAATATTATTGTTAAATAAGAAAATTAACAATTTTATTGGTCCACATCATCATTCAAAAATAAGAAAATTTTTAAATTTTAATATTAGTGTTAAATAAGAAAATTAAAATTTTTTTTATAAATTCTAATATTATTGTTGAATAAAGAAATTTTGTATAAATTTTTTATTGGTCCAACTCAACATTAAAAATAAAAAAGTTTCTAAATTCTATTATTGTTTAAAAAATTATTAAAGATGAATAAATTATATATACAACTTATATTAATAATAATAAAATAAAATAAATAATTTTAACATAAGAAAATTTAAAATTAAATTAGATGTTTCAATTATATAAATAACTAAGAACAAATAAAATATTAAAATTTATTTATATATGTATACACATATATTTAGAGACTCCTACATTAGCATCCAAATTTTTGTCACATAACTATAATAAATTTTAAGTTTTCTTTATGTGTGTACAACCATTTCAATTAAAAAAAGCAAAAAAAAAAGAGAGTTATGTTTCACTAAAGAATGAATCATTACAATGTAAAATTAAGAACCAACTTGACTAAACTATGTTTAACTATTAGCTAAATTAAAAAGAATATGATGAAAACAAAGCCACTACAAGCTGCTTTAATATTGAAAAAGAGACCGTAAAATCTCTAAAGTTTTGCTACCAGATTTGAAAAGAATGATAAATTTCAAGTAATCCGAGAAACATGTCAAGTGATTGATACCCAAAAATTTTGAAAAACGAACTATTAAAAATAGAGAAAGAGGTTCCGCATTAAGGCAAAAGAGACTGAGGTATCCGAGGAAAATCTTTGGAATAACATGGCATCTGACAAGGGTTTAGCAATCCAACCTGAACCACAAAGATAACAATTAGCTAAACCAAGCAGTATCAGAATACATTCCGTAAGCCTCAAAATGTGGAGGAGAAAACAAAATCACTTGCCGCAACTGGCCTCTTGTGGGATCTTCCAGCGTTAATATCTAAATATATTACAAATAAAACTTGAAGCTATATGCCTCTAAGAGTGTCTACATAGGATTTAAAATTTCAATTCTATTGGTTCATATCAATATTTAAAATTAAAAAAAAATAAAATTTTAAAACTGTATTGTTTACAAAAAAAATATTTATAGAAAAATAAAAGCTGAAGCTATATGCCTCCAAAGACATTCATTAGATTTAAAAGGTCAGTGTTTTTAGTCCACATCAATAATTAAAATTTAAAAAGTATTTAAATTATAAAATTACATTGGTAATACAAAACAATATAGGAAAATTTGTAATTTAAACTATTATATTATTAATAACAGTTTAGCCATATTATTTTTAAGGCATCAATATCAACATTTAAAAATTAAAAAAGTTTCCAAATCCTAATATAATGGTTAAAAATTTTTTTAAAAAAATCTCCATTAACAACAAAAATAAACTACCATGATATTAAAATCTCCATTATCACTGTTTTAGTTACAAATTTATTTTTTATATATAATAAAATATACTTCTTATATAAGTTTAAGTTACTTGATTTAAAGGCTTTTCAAGTAAAATTTTAAATAATTAATATTTATGATTTATATACATCTAAATTTTTTTCACATATACAAAACATATTTCCACATAATATTATATAATATATTATGTAAAAATGATTGGAAAAAAATATATTTTTATATTCGACTTGGAATTACAATAGATTAACGAAGAAGTTATTAGTTTTGAGTTATTCACTTTGCTATTCATTTTTCTAAATTTGTATTTATTAAATTATACCAATTTTGTCTATTTGATTATAATTAGAAGAAGTGACAATGAATATGATGAAACTGAATATAATCATAAAATAAATTATTAAATAAATAAAAATGATATATTTATTGAAAAAA